AAGACTCTATACTCTTGTATTAATGGAAATATATTACTATTATCTACAGTGGGGGAAATAAGTATTTGACCCCTTGCTGATTTTGCAGGTTTGCCCACTTACAAAGAATGCTTATTTTTCCTCATCAGATGGTTATCAATTTTTTATAAATTCATATAATGTGATTTTCTGGAATTTCCTTTGGGATTCTGTCTTTCACTGTTAGAATGTACATATGATTAAAGTTATAGATCGTTGCATTCTTTGTAAGTGGGAAAACCTGCAAAATCAGCAAGGGGTCAAATACTTATTTCCCCCACTATATATATGTAAATATGTAGTGTGTGTACACACACTATAACACTATAAGTAAATAATTGATGGATTAAATATCCACCTGTGAAGTTTGCATCCTTTGTATTTGTTCTGCTTTCAGCCCGGTGATTGAACTTTATCCCGACGCCACACAGAAGGAAATGTAACTCAATTTGTGAGCAGCCAGAAGCCTTACGGCGTTTTCTACTAAACACTAAACAGATGCTTTGCTTGAGGAATTGGTTCCCACAGCCTGTGTGAAGTGCTTAAATATGTCACTGCCAAAGACGACTTCAATTATTCAATACAGCAGAAAAAGCTGCGCTGAAGTCTACTAAATAAGTATTTAAACTGAAAGAAGAAAACCCGTCTGTACTAAGAACTGTGATATGTGTTACAGAAACACACATATCGACTCACAAAAATGATTTAATTAGCCCTTTAAAGCCCGATCCAAGAATAAAACAAAACAGAAAATTACTTTTTTTTTTGGTTTGAAGTCTTTATTTGGCCTTTTAACTAAATATGTAAAAAGAAAAAACAGACATACATTTTTAATATTAATAATTTATTACCATGTGATAAGTCCAGATTATTTTTTGTGTAGTCTTCTGCCCCCTGTTATCAGGTGTATCTGATTGTGTACAATAGGATTTTGAGCAAAGTTTTTACCATTAAATTATGCAAAAGGTGTCAAACTAAACATTTCAGAAACCGTACGACTCAAATATGATACATTTAGCATTACGGGGTTAAGAAGGGCAATGAAATTCATTCAATACAGCAGAAAAAGCTGCATTTCAAGTCTAGTAAATAAATATTTAAACTGAAAGAAGAAATCGGTGGAGAGAAAAAAACCCGTCTGTGATATTTGTGTTCAGAGTAAACAGGAATTACAGGAACACATCATATCGACTCACAAAAATGATTTAATTAGTAATGAAATTCATGCACACGTGGAGACAAATTGGCTGTGAATTTGAATCCAGCAGGTGATTAAACTGTTTTTTCTCTTTTTACAGTTTAGTTCTTTGGTTATTTTTGGCTTTCTGTTGTGTAACACCTCTTTAAATCTCTACACAGCTCGGGATATGACACTACTACATGTAATTAAAGAAGATTAATTC